GAACAGGGAAAACTTAGCATCGTTTCCACAGAACTAGAAAGGAATAAATTAGATATACTAGGAATTTTTGAACATACATGGGCAGGTCAAAGCCATTTTGTGACTCAAACAGAAGATAACTCCTTGAGTATGAAAGTACATGAGGCGAGAGAACTGGCAGGAGACCGAATTTCTTTCAGGCAGACTGATGAGAGCGACATTCTGCAAAGGACCTTCTACATGATAATGACCAAGTAGCAGGTGTAAGAAGTTACATGATTCACATCTGTAGACACCATTCTTTCCCATGAAATGTGGATTCTGCAAGCAGGTTTATGATGATGCAGTTCCAACAGTTTCTATCTTGAACCTTTACTGTACATTCTGCCAAATGTCCCTAAGCACATCTCCAAGTCCCTATGCACATCTCCAAGTCCCTAAGGACATCTCTGTCATCAATGACCGGCATAGGCCATCATGCCTCTCCACAATCTGCGATCTGCAACTTTGTTTACTATTTCCTGTGTTGACACCCTTCCATGCCATGCCAAAAGACTGTCAAGATTTTTCTCACACTGTCTTCTCTTGTCTTTGTCTTTTCACAGGTTTTCCAGTGGTTACAACATGTTCCAATTTCCTTCTTCTCATAACATGACCAGAAAATGTTGACAGTCTCTTTCTGATGTTTGTGATAAGTTGTCTATAAGCTGTCAGCTCTTTCAGAACGTCTGGGTTGCTCCTTTTTGGCTGTTGAAAGAATTCTAAGGATTCCAAGGAATATAATATCCTTTGAATGCTGGTAATAAGTTCTCTTCAGTTAATTGCTTGAAAAAAAAAATCTTCATTACACTTGTTACCTGTCTATGGTGTTCTCATCATTCAGCTGTAAATACTACATCTCTGCAGTTTCCACATAATTTACTTCATTATTAAATGAAATACAACAAGCTTTTTTGTTTTCTCCTACAGCTTTTATAGTATTATATTTTTCTTGTTCAGAGTTTCTTAACTCATACTTTGTAAGAGATTATGATTGTCCTATCTTGTTGTGGGTGTATGCATCACTGCTTCATTCACGATTGTCTAATCTTGTTCTGGGTGTATGCATCACTGCTTCATTCATGATTGTCTTATCTTGTTGTGGTTGTATGCATCACTGCTTCATTCATGATTGTCTTATCTTGTTGTGGGTGTATGCATCACTGCTTCATTCATGATTGTCTTATCTTGTTGTGGGTGTATGCATCACTCTCTCATTCACTGAGATTATTTTTCCCCTGTCACACAAAACATTGTAAGATCTGGCCATTTGTATTGCATTAACCGGGAAGGCTAACCCGGTTAACAAATGCCTGCAGAAGCCGGATGTGTTGGCCGAAAGGTGCAAATATTGCAGCCATGCTGTAAACGGACACAATGCAATTACATCTTTGGATGAACGCAGAAGAAGAAGAAGAAGTATTGCATTATATTTCATTGCTTATGACCATTTTGATGTTGTGGGACCTTACACTGCATTATGTAACTCTTAAAAGCTTGATTCTTTTTTTACATTCTAAAATAACATCTCTTGCTGTTGTAACTAACTGGGCTGTAATTATTGTATGGATACTACTTTGATATTGTCTGTGTATATATCCTGAACAGCTGTCATTACATAGTAGTTTATGTGAGTTATCTGACAAGACTGTGGTTTGGGTTAAATCCTAAATAAATTCTACATTAATTCACTCATCTGTCACAAAATCTCAGTAATATGCTTGACATGTGGACACATTAGTATGTGTGAGTTGTTGCAGAATAAGGGAAGAGGACAGGATGTGACCCAGAGAAGTGGGATGGGCTGTAGGCAGGTGGTTATGGCAAGAGACATAATTTGAAAATCCTCAGATAAAATAGTATTGGATATTAAGACCCTTGGAGAGAGAGAGATCCCATTGGAGATAAAAGGCAGAAAAAAATGAATGAGCAGTCCCTTATAAATTGTCAGATAATTCTGCGTACTCATATTGAAGTACAGGAACAGAACGATACAATCTTCTTTTAGTCTGTCACATCTTTGTATGCCTGTAAACGTGTCTTTTGGATGTGTATTTTGATAACAGAACTGACATTATTGCCTCTTAATCCTCCCTTTCAAAATTTTTCAGTCTGCAATTCTGTTAAATTTACTGTGCCTTTCACTTATGCTGCTATTGCTTTTGCTCTTATGCTAGGACTGTAAATTATGGTATTTTAATTCACTGGTTTTGTCATGCTATTTTTTTATCCAGCCTGCTTGTCTTTTGCTTGTTATCTTATTCCTGCTGCATTCTGTATTGCACAAAGGATAAGGTGTGGATAATGAGTCTTTCAGCTATAATAAAGAAACAAATAATATAAACCGGTGATTCCCAAAACAGTGCACCACGGCGCCCTGTGGAGCCGCGACCTTTTCACAGGGGTGCAGCGAAATATTGTTAAAGCTTCATAATTAATTTAACCAAGACATGAATAGTCATACTTTTACTTAGGTTAGGGCGCCGTGGAAAACACTTTTTTATTGAAAAGAAAAGTTTGGGGAAACTAGTATAAACAATAAATCTACATTTCTAGAAGTAATCTGCTTTTGTGCATATCCTAGGAACATTTTCATCCTGCTTTGTTGCATTGCTTGGATATTTAAAATCAGGTCTGGTGGCTGTTTCCTCTTAAGTATTCATTTGCTTGCTTGAGTTTCTAAATGTTTCAACTGCCTATTTTGATTGAATTTGTATCTATGCCTACCCACCAAGTGGGGAATTTTCTTCAAAAATATAGGTATAGTCCTGTATTCCCAATACACCAAAAGGCATGGAAAAGGGTCCTTTACTTTTAAATCTATGCCTATTGCTCTTATTTCACTGTACATCTTTTTGTTTTCATTTGTATCTGTATCTCTCTTACTTGAATTTATATATATATATATATTTCCCTCTTGTTTGAATTTGTACCCGTTTGTTTCCATCCTTATTCAAATTTATATCTTATTTTCCACCTCTTTTTATAAAATCTATATCTGCTTATAACTTAATTGTTTAATATGTATCTGTTTGGTTCCTTCTTCTTTACCCCCCCCCCCCCCCCCCCCCCCCCCGCCTCTTGTTTTAAATTATATCTGAATCTCCTTTCTTTTTATGTCTGTTTGTATCCCTCTTGTTTGATATAGTATAATAGTACATCAATAAATAGTATTACTCATCCTGATGTTGAAATTATGTATTAATCATTTTCTATTTTTAGCTAGTGACAACACTACATGACATACTCACTATCTTGTTTCCCCATTAAAGGTTACAATGTTTAGAAGCATCCTTACATCTGTTTATAATTGTTATAGCAGCAGCATATAATTCACTGTTTACATTGTTACCTTTAGTATCGTAGTTTGGCTAAAGATAAAAGAGCTCTTTCCAGTATTACTTTTAGTATTGTGGTTTACCTGTTGCTCATTAAAGAGCTCTTTCCAGTATTACTTTTAGTATTGTGGTTTACCTGTTGCTCTTTAAAGAGCTCTTTCCAGTATTACTTTTAGTATTGTGGTTTACCTGTTACTCATTAAAGAGCTCTTTCGAGTATTATCTTTGCTATTGTGTTCCTGTTGTTCCTACAAGAGCTCTTTCCAGTATTACCTTTAAGTACATTAAATGTATATTGTGGTTTACCTGTTGCTCATAAAAGAGCTGTTTTCAATATTACCTTTGGTGTTGTGATTTACCTATTGCTCAAAGAAGAGCTCTTTCCAGTATTACCTTTAGTATTGGGTTTACTTAAAGCTCATACAAGAACTGTTTCCAGCATTTATTTTACTATTTTAGTTTACCTCTGGATGGGTAATGTGGTCAGCATTACGCCAGCCGTCTTTACTTCCCCAGGACAGCCATCCTGGTACCCATTTTAGGCTGGGTCAACCTGCGACGCCCCATACTACGATAAAAATCCACGCAGCCAGCAGTGGGTTTCGATTGCGGTACGTTGGATTACGAGTCGGACTCGCAACGCCTTAGCCACGGACGCCGCATAGTCACCCATACCCTAACTAAAGTCCTACATTTCACTAACTTTAGTTATATCATGTACTAATTACAGCCCAGGGAACCACTGTGATGTAGCGGCTAGATACTTGCCTGTGGATCTGAAGGTTGTGGGTTCAGCTCCTGGTGAAGCTGGCCTTTATTTGTTTTGAAAAATGACCTTGGCTCCTATGTTGACCACATCACCCACCCAGTGCCAGTTGGTCTGTAAAATACAGGTCTAGCCCTATATACCCAGTGTGCCTGTAGGCATCGTAAAGGGTCCTTTACTTACTTGTAGCCCAGGCTTGCACTAACAGTAGTTATACCGACTGCTGTGCTACCTACAGTCCTACCACAAACACCTTCAAACTCCCTCCTCCCCCTTCCCTACCCTCCTCCCCCTGACTACCTACATTCACACATGCACTAACCATAATTATATCAGGCATTACCTGCAGTTCTACCATAACTCTCTTTTAAATGTTTTTCTTTTTCAAGGATCTGTTAGCTTTCATAATTTCTTCTATTTCTTCTTTCATGAATACCCATTAATTTTGCTGATATAAATGTCTGTCTTACCTACTCGCCTACCCTCATTGCTGAGAGAAAAGTCTGTATTATTGTTTCCATCTTATTGAAATTTGTGTATTATTTTTCCCCTCTTGTTATAAAATGTATATCGACCGGTATCTCACTTAATTGAATTTGTATTTGTTCATTTTCCCAATTGTTTGAATTTATGTCTGCTTTTTTCTCACATGTTTGCATTTACAATTTTGTTTCCATCTTATTCAAATTTCTAAATTTGTTTTTGCTTTCCTATTATAAGTTACATTTTGTTGAATCCCTTTTGTTTGATTGTATATCTGTTTGTGTCCATTGTGTTTGATACAGTCTATTAGCACATTATTTTTTTTTCAATATTATTATCTGCTCTCCTACCCTCATTGCCGGGACTGAAAGTCAGATGTCTGTTTCTCTCCGTAGGGCACAACTGTGGGAAACATAGTCACATCAATTCCACACCTCATGAACACAAGGCAGGTGGAAGAGCTCTTTCCATATCCATTCCATGACCTCATGATCTGGGCTGTGCTGATGAAAAGACAAAAGATGGCTCTGTTTATGTGGCAACACGGGGAGGAAGCGTTAGCAAAGGTGAGCATCTTCGTATGACTGGTAACAAAAGTAGTGGTCAACTTACTATCCTATCAGTACTTTAGCACACACAATCACTAATGTAATTCTTTGGGGGAAAAGTTTTTTAAAAAAATGCAAAATAAAAATTATGTATAGTGTAAAAATAAAAATGAAAAAAATTTTTAAACAATTATAAAAAGTCCCAGGAACCTGTAAGTGATGGCAAACAATACAACTGCAAGAGCTTGAAGAGAAGCAAGATTGCAATGAACTCAAAGAAGATACAACACTCACAGCCAAGGAAGCAGAAATCAGAACACAAGGTGCATGGTGGGTGGCAAGCACAAGGAAAATACCGAGAGAGGACTTCCCTTGAGGACTTATCCTTATCAGGGCAGTTAATATCCTCCTCACAGAAGCAGAAAGCTCACCTGCTTAGAACCTGACAGATGTGGCTAGTATACAGTTTTTAGGAACAACAGAACTGCACAAAGGAAAAAAAAAAGTCAGTTTCCAAGTGCAGCAGAGATCTTACTTATAACTTAAGTTCAAGTTAGGAACTGGCTGAATGAGATCAAAAGTTTTTCCTTATTTTCAGAAATAAAGAAACAAACAAACAAACAAATAAAAATTACCTAAGATGCTTTAATTAGGACGTCTTAAAGTCTTCGGTCTCATGTTATTTCATTCAACTCTGAACAGATGGTCCTCCATGCCATGGTGTTAAACTGTCCAGCAACTTTTCTCTTATGTTTGTATCAGTTTTTATTGTAGTAATCCACTAACTGAAGCGGCAGAGATACTGTTTTATAGACGAATGATGAGAACACCCTGAACAGATAAATAAAGTAATGAAGATATCTTAAAAGAAACTGACTCACGAAGAAAACTGATTTTCCACATAAGAAAGAACACTCTTCCGTCATGTCATGAGAAGGAGACAACTGTAGTATATTGTGATGGTTGGGAAAGTGGGAGGGGAAGAGAGGCAGAGGGAGACCAAGAAAGAGAAGATGCTGGAATTGATTGAAACTATGCATGACAGAATGTTGTGGATAAACATGACAATCGACACCCCACAGTTTGGACTTTAAGGTGAAGAATCCACCAGTTATTTTTCCCATGTCTTGATTCTTTTCATAACTTGACCAGACAGTGTGATTCCCTAAGCTGTATATTGCAGGCCCTTCTCGCTGGCAAGTTGTACAGTGCCATGGCGCATGAGGCTGATCAAGACGATCTGGAGATAGAATTATCACAAGAATTCAGAGCCTATTCTGAGTAAGTGTCAGTTGCCTGCTTGTTCATAAAGTAAAAGGTTGTAGTAATGTGATGAAACAAAATATATTTTTATTTAAGTGTGGTTCCAGCATGAGGGACTGATTTACACTAGTAATACTGCAGTGATGTCTCTTTTTTTTAACTCTTTGAGTCCCAAGGAACACATCATACATTCATGGTTTCCTGGTTTCCTACATAGAGGCCCAATGAATGCATGATGTGCTGATTTTACGCCTCTCTTGACTACCCATTGGGCCTGGGATGCTAAACCCCCTGGGACTCAAAGAGTTAAGGATATTTAGACTAATGATTAGAAAGGATTATCATCACAGCACTCCAAACAGATCCATAGATGCTCCGATCTCCTCCTCAAAAGCTCCACAACTGTAAAACAACTGATGACACCTGTTCTGTGTTGGTTAATGAAACGTCTTGTCCTCTTAGTGAAATATTTATTTCTAGCAGCTTCAGGCTGCACCCCTATGTCCATCAGTCTAGACAGGGATATGGAGTCATCTGGACTAACTGGGTCCTTTGGCGTGCTCCTTGGTACGGTAAATGCAGCACATAGCATTGAAAACATCACTTCTGTCCAGTACTGGGCCAGCCATAGCAACTGCAGTGTCAGCAAGATAGTCTGCACACTCGTTCCCTTGAACACCCCCGCATGACCTTGCACAAAGATGAAGGTTAGAGCAGATATTCTTGAAGTGCTTAGTGTTTCAATCCATTCTTGCTTGATAAATCCAGCTTGGATTTTTTTAAGCATATTCATCAAGTCACTAAGAAAGCATGCGTGTGTGAACTTTTGAGTACCAAGCCATGCTAAAGCCCTTGTTACAGCCATAGTTTCCATTGTAAGGCTACTAGTTGTAACAGCAAAGGCGTCAAGCAAAGGGTGTTTAGATGTTGATTTTTATCAACCATAAGCCATCGACCACGATGATATACTGAATTTTCTACGAAAATTAGGACATTTGCGAGAACAAAGCGACTGTGATTCTGCAACCATGACCAGACCACAAGAACAGCTGTTAAAAGAGGTCTGGCCAGATAACAGTGCTCTGTAACTCACCAGAGAAGAATAAGAAACCAACACAGAACCGGTATTATCAGCCGCTACCACTGTGAGATTTACAGAGGAGCACTTTTGGACGTCGCAGGTCGACCCAGCCTAAAATGGGTACCAGGATGGGCTGTCCTGGGAAAGTAAAGACAGCCGGCGTAATGCTGACCACATTACCCACAGAGTGCTGATGGTCTGTAAAAATATGGGACGCTCTGCCCATATGCCCGATGCGCCGAAAGGCGTGAAAAGGGATCTTTACTTTTTTTTTCTTTACTTACTTTTGGACTGAATGGTTCGATGTGCAGTAAGCATAATCTATTGACTACCTGACTAACTACCATATTTCCTCAAGTATGAGACAGTTTGGGAAAAAATAATATAATGTAAAGTTATTGAACTCATGTTTTATTCATCATAGAAATGTAATGGTCCATTTTCTCATTATTGGTAAATCCTTTCATGATTGGGAAAGGTCAGCTACTAAGCATAAATGATGTGCTTGAATTTGCATGGTTGGCATAGAGTATGAAGTATAATGTATGCATGAACAGATCGAGTAATTTGAGACAAGCATGCAAGTTGGCTGAAGCATGCCAGATGAGAAAAACATGAAAATTGTGAGTGGAGCTTTCGAGAGCACTAGAGGTGAAATAGGTTATTTTCTTCTTATACTTGGGAAAATGCGGTAAATAACCATAAGCAGTTCTTGCCCAAATTTCCAGCGAGTTCCTGAACCTTGCCCTGGAGCTGCTGGAGCACTGTTATAAAATAGATGATGATTACACCCAGCAGCTGCTGACCTACGAGCTGAAGAACTTCAGTGAGCAGACGTGCCTGGGTCTGGCGGTTATTGCCAACCATCGTTTGTTTATTGCTCATACCTGCTGCCAGGTGCTGCTGAATGACCTCTGGATTGGTGGTCTGCGAATGAGAAAGAATACCAGTCTCAAGGTAAGAATGAAGTCATTAGGCAATAAATATATTTAGTGAATTGGTCTTGAGTGTTTTCTCTCTCTCTCTCTCTCTCTCTCTCTCTCTCTCTCTCTCTCTCTCTCTCTCTCTCTCTCTCTCTCTCTCTCTCTCTCTCTCTCTCTCTCTCTCTCTCTCTCTCTCTCTCTCTCTCTCTCTCTCTCTATCTCTCTCTCTCTCTCTCCCTCCCTCCCTCCCTCTCCCTCTCGCTATTTATTGTGTGTATCTCTATCTCTTTTACTGTCTCTGTCTCTCTTTTTTAATACTAGCTTTAAGGTAATCCTCCATTAACCACACGCTGCACTAATTTTGCAATAATTTTTACTTGTTTGTTGTATGAGTTCTGGAATTTGCCTTTCTGTTGAATGTTGGATTAAGAATCGACATAGGACTCTGGACACTCCCAAAAGCGCTCCGTCCCCACCTTCAGTAGCAGAAGGACCCTCACAACATCCAGCTTTTCATACATCAGTTCACCACCAAGTGATGCAGCACCAGCCAGTTTTCTGCCAGCTCGTTTTCCAACACATCGGCATTACCTGGAGAAAATATCCAAAGGATGCCAACTACCCTTGACCTTTGAAGCGATGCTTGCCACTCTGCATAGAGCATGCCTGTGTCCACCTTTCTCAGCATGCTCTGTGAATCACTTACAATTAGGACATGGGTGCACAGCTGATTCTCAAGCCAGCGAAAGGCAGCATTGACTGCCTCCATGCTCAAACTAGACGTTGTGATATCATATGCCAGGCTTTGCTGCACCAAGCGATGTCCTTTCGCTTTTGCTATGAACCCCCATGCACTTTTTCTGCTTCTCAACACAGAGCCATCAGTATAGATAATCACATCACCTGGGCGGGAATTGTCATGAATTATTTGAAGAATAACTTTAATTAAGAATTTGTAGAATAATAGAGAATAAAAGAATTGTAATGATGTGTTATCTTGTTTATTAAATTTTGAAAAAAAAATATCATTTTTTAAAGATTTTAATAAGGCAGAATGGTTAAATGATACGTTGAATGTTTATCACTGTAAATGTCATTCTTTAACAGCTCATTGATTTTATACTGCTGTGGGAATATCATTCTTAAAAAGCATCTTGGCTTTATAACTGTTTGAATGTTATTCCTAAACAGTTCACATATTGTTTATCATTGTTTGATTTATCTTTTGATGTTATTCTAAAATAGTGCATTGACTTCCATTATATTTGAATGCCTTTCCTAAACAGTTCACATATTGTTTATCATTGTTTGATTTATCTTTTGATGTTATTCTGAAATAGTGCATTGACTTCCATTAAATTTGAATGCCTTTCCTAAATAGTGCATAGATTGTCAGTTAATATTTATATCTGATTCTGAACCATTCAGTTGACTCTCAGTTTTTTAAATACCTAATAGGTGATCTTAGGAATTGTATTTCCACCTTACATCTTCAAACTGGATTTCAAATCTAAAGAAGAGCTGCAGCTCATGCCTCAGACCATGGAGGAACACTTGGATGAGTTGGAGGATGCAGCCAGCATGGCTGATATCTCCATATCGTCCTTCAGCGAGGACCAGGTAAATAAACTTCAGTTTCTTAAAACTGTAAAAATCAGAATGTGCAGAGAAATAGGCAAGGTAACACTCTGCATACTCCCCATGTGGGTTTTGAGGCCCCTATTTTATGTGAGGGGAGAGAATAGACTTACTGCTCTTTAACAAGTGTATTGTAAAAAGGGACTAATTAAGGATTTGCTTGAATTGGATGTGTTGGGCCGGAAGGTGCAGATACTCCAGCCTAGCTGCAAACTGCAACACAATATGCCAATCGCAGTTGTAAGGGTGGATGCAGTAGATGGCACTGGATCTGATGAAGAAGAATTTAGAAAATCTTTCTTCTGTTCTTCTCAATACACAGGTTCAACCCATCTTCTGCCAAGTAGTTTCTCGTGTTTTTATTGGTTAATCCTTAAAATTTAGCTGCATACACCAATCAATCATAATAAGGCAATAAAAGGCTGGATGTACGTTGGTTGAGGGCCAATGTAAACTGCAGATGTGTAAGGAAGCAGAGAAGAAGAAAACCGTAGTCATCCAATCATAGTTCAAATTTGATATAACTTGGGGACGTATGGGTTGAGTTGCGTTGAGTGTCGAGCTAAGATCTGACATCACAGCACTCAGGATTCTGATGATGCCTGTAGCAGTTTGATGATATGTGTAAGTCTTGCCTTTCATCTGAGTGTAGGGGGTCGACCAGATCCCCTGGTCACTACAGGCTGTACACCGGCTGTAAACTTCTTGGGAAAGTCCTGGTAGTTCATCCACTTCTGGGCTTTGGTCTTGTTCCAGGGCTTCAGTTTTGTATGCTCGTCCATTTTGTAGAATTAGCTTATATTTGCTTTCAGACTGTTAGTTCCTTGCCTCTCAGGCAGAAGCTGTCTGACTTCAAGTATAATGTTGATCCGATCTACGTTGGCCTGCTCCCTGATTGAGAGCCTGTTTTAAGGTTGATCAGGAAGAGATGTTGATAGGTCTTGACCAGTATGGTCCCACATGTGGTTCTGGGCCTCTGCAACCCATTTTTCAGATAAGATCTCTGCGTATAGGAAGAAGCTGCAAATTTTTAAGTGACAAATCCCATTAAGCTTAAATAACAATAAATAAATGCAATGTTTTGAAAAAATTAATCATTGTAAACATTTTACAATTCTAAGTAAAGTAAATGCTGTAATATACATTTCCATGTGGTAACAATTTTTCATTACTTTTTCTCTGTAATTATAAGCTTATTGTTATATATTTTATTTGTTTTTTCTTTTTTGAAGGATTATAATATGCAGGATGACATGGCTGACCCAAACTCGATGACAAATCAGGTGAGCCCAGTGAAGGAGAATGGAACCATAGGAGGCGATGGAGATAGCCCAGATGGCCTCGACTCCACCTTGTTTGCTCAGATGCCCTTCCGCAAGAAGAAGAGTCCTTTGAGGATGGGAAAGAGAGTATATGAGTTCTACAATGCTCCGATCACCAAATTCTGGGCACATGCAGTAAGTATCTGTAACAGGCTCACTTGAGGGAAGATAGAAATTAGTAATAATTTATCATTGTAGAAAATCTTACAGATGTGCTCTTTTTGGGGGGGAATTATAGTTTTCTCTGAGGGGCTGCAGGCCAGACAGTTAAGAATGCAGGACTCTCATGCAGGAGACCCGGATTCGGATACCAACTAAGATTAGGGATTTTTTTTTATCGGTGGCAAATGGAGAGATAATATCCAGACAGACCCGCAAACACTTGGTGTCACCAACTGAAAAGAGAAGGCCAACCAGAGAGAAAATGGAGGCTGGTGATATCTGCAGCAATGAACCTCAAGGGCTCAGAATGCTGAAGAAGAAGAAGAATGGGGCAGAAGTTAAATCCTAACCTATATAGTCCATAGCAACAGTGCTAGCCATGCGGTCCTAATTCCTCAGGCTCAAAGATCTCCCTACCTACACCTAAAAAGTGATAAATGGGGGCAGTAAATGGCAATGTTTTTTTTTTGTAAGGCGTGGTAGCTAAATAACTGTATGCCAGCATGAAAGTCATAGGTTCAAATTTGCATCAAATCAGAAAAAATTATTTTTTATTGTATCCTTTTTTTTTTTTTTTGCTTTAAATAATTGATTTTTGCTGTCAGGTCAGCCCATCATGATATGGGTAGTAAAGGCAATTGGCATGATACTAGAATATTAGTTAGTCTATACACGTGTGATTCTACACCTTATCCCTTGGGAAGCCTTCTTCTTTAGCGATCTCTGGTCATACGCATAATCCACTGTGGGCCATGAACTTGGACGTCCTCTCAAGGTCAGATCTCTTAGGTTTTCCCAAAGCTTTGTTGTCAGGTCTACTGGGTGTTGCCATATATTGCTCCACCAAGAGAGGACAGTCTTGCAGGACATGTTCTTGAGTCTGTTCAGCACGAAGACACTTGCAAAGAGCTGTTTGGCTCATACCTAATTTATATAAGTGTTTGTTGAGTCTGCAGTGTCCAGTGCGAGAAACTGTGACTTGGTCTGTTCTGTTCAGGTGTTTGAGAGAATCTTTTTCATAGTTATAACAAGTGTTGGTTTTCCAATCTGTTTCTGATGTTCTCTTAGTGAGAGTTTTGACTTCTAGAAAAGATAGTGGCTGGTAGATCTCCCTGTGTGACAAAGGCAGGAAACAAGTTCATGGAGGTTATTTAATTAGTAGAACTGATCAAGAGCACCAAGGGCAAATAATCTGTGGAGAGACATAAATACCTCCAAAAGAGGTGTTGTTACCCCATAACTACACAGATTGAGTTTCTTGTTTTTTTTTTTTTTGTCATTGTGTATGCTCCATGCTCTCATTTAGTATCTGTTGTATTTACATTAAAATTTGTTTCAATCCTTCCCTCCACTTGTCAGCTGTAAGATAGTCATTTTTGTGTGTGTGTGTGCAAAAATCTTTTCCAAATCATGATTCTTATGTAACCCTTAATTACTATAATTTTTTTTTGGAGTGGGGGGGGGGGGGGGTGGGTGGGAGGGTCCGAGTTGTTCTTCTAGTCATCATTCAGATCCGTTGACCAATTGACCGCAGTTAATATATGTACAATAATAATACAAATCAGGGGGTCACTGTAGCATAGTGGCTCGATGCTATCTGCCAGCCAGAAGGTTCAAAACCGCATCAAGTTTAAGATTTTTTTTTTTAATTGACTGTGGTTAACCCAGCCTAAAATGGGTACCAGATAATGTCCCGAGAGGTCAAGATGACCAGCGTGATGATGACCACATCACCCATTGAGCTTTGATTGGTCTTTAAAAAAATCAATCTTGAGTCTAACATCATATGCCTGTTGCATCACCGGTGTCAAAGGGGTCCTTGACTTGACTTTATTCTAAATGTTATTTTAACTCTTGCTTTCTAGCATAGTATTTTTTAATATTCATTTTGCCTTATGTGCTTACAAAGTAGGCAACTTTCCTGTGAATGACGCCTCTGTGAACCTATGTGCTTACAAAGTAGGCAACTTTCCTGTGAATGACGCCTCTGTGAACCTATGTGCTTACAAAGTAGGCAGCTTTCCTGTGAATGACGCCTCTGTGAACCTATGTGCTTACAAAGTAGGCAGCTTTCCTGTGAATGACGCCTCTGTGAACCTATGTGCTTACAAAGTAGGCAACTTTCCTGTGAATGACGCCTCTGTGAACCTATGTGCTTACAAAGTAGGCAGCTTTCCTGTGAATGACGCCTCTGTGAACCTATGTGCTTACAAAGTAGGCAGCTTTCCTGTGAATGACGCCTCTGTGAACCTATGTGCTTCAGTGATGAGCATTGGGACTTACTGTAAAAGCACAAACTTGTGTGTGTAATCATCTGTGAACCTATGTTGTTTTAGTGACACTCCTTGAGACTTTCTGTAAAGTCACAAACATTTTGGGGCACAAAACAGACCCACTGCCCCCCAATAAGCATTTCATATCCCCTCTCCCCACCCCACCCCCCCCCCCCCCCCCCCCAAAAAAAAAAACTAATGATGGATGTTTCCTTCCAAATTGGAGTGCATGTGCCTGAGAAGCAAGGAACCAATAGTCTGCATTAAAATGAACCAAACCTTTGAAAGGGATGTGCCTGCAAAACTCAAATTCTGGAACATAACCAGTGTCTCAGAGTTGGAGTGCATGTGCCTGAGAAGCAAAGAACCAACAGTCTGCATAGAAATAAACCAAACCTTTAAAAAGGATGTGCCTGCAAAATACAAGTTCTGGAACATAACCAATGTTTCAGAGTTGGAGCGTGTGTGCCTGAGAAGCAAGGAACCAACAGTCTGCATACAAATAAACCAGGTGTGTAAAATGGATGTGCATGTATGCCTCAAGTTCTGGAACAGGAACAATGTCCAGAAGTGGACGAACAACCAGAAACTTTCTGCCAGAGTTTACAGCTGATGAATGCTAAGGATAAGAAGAATATTCATTTTAGGCTCAACATTTTTGTAGTTTCAAGGAGCAGCTGATTCAGTGGATTAAACTTTGGAAGCAACTATGTTAGACTAAGGGAGTTGGAGAATAATTCAGTTGGAACTTCTGGAATACAAAGAGGTAAACTGCATTTTAGAGTTTATTGCGTATCCTTTACAGGATGTTGCAGAACCAACCCCAGCATTTTTTTGATGTTATGGTTTTTCTAGGCAAATTTTACATCCAGTAGTTTGCAATTGCTTTCTGGACAGTCAGCTCTTGGTACCACTGTTGAAACCAACGCAAGAAAAATCGCTTGCAACTGGGATCGAACCTGGTACCCAGGCATTGCGAAGCGTGTTCGAAACGCCTAAGCCACAGACACCAACAAGCTGGATATAGAAGACTGTAAAAATCACGTCACGTTGAATATTTTCAGATTGGATACATGGTGTTTTTGGTCTTGTTTTGCTATGTCATCCTGGACCGTATCAAGGAAGTTCCAAACTGGGCTGAAATCTACATCATGGCTTTTATGATAACAATGGGATTTGAGAAAATCAGACAGGCGAGTTTTATGCCATTTAAGTTGCTATTCTTTATGTGGTCTGTTAGTATTTGTAAATATGTGTGCTGTTGTGCACCAAAGTCAGAAAATGCTGTGATATGGATGTGTAATAAGATGTACCAGCCTGACCAAAATGAAACAAAAGGGCTTGGCACGGAGAAGAGGTAGGCCAAGAAAAAAGATGTAGATCCAAAATGTGACTGACTGGACAGGTCTGAAATATGATAATGTCAAGTCCTGTGCATCTGACTATCAGTTATAGTGGGAACTGACCAGACGGTCAACAGCAAATAGTGGCCCAGCAATATGCTGTGTTATGGGACTGTTATTAGGGTGATGGGAGAGGCTGGCCAAGAGGTTACAACATGGGGTTCTCATGTGGGAGACCCCGGTAAGGTGATGGGAGTTTTTCTGTCAGGGGCGGAATTAAACATCCTAACCTGCACAGTCTGTGGTGACAGCACTAGCCATGCAACCCTAAATCCTCAGGCTCACCACCTCTCTGTCTACATCTCCTTAAAAAGTTGTAAAACAGACAGTAAAAGTAAAAGTAAAAAAGTAAAGGACCCTTTCCACGCCTGTCAGGCGTATAGGGCATATAGGGCTAGACCTATATTTTTATAGACCAACGGCACAAGATGGGTGATGTGGTCTGCATCACGCCGGCCGCCTTTACTTCCCGGGACTGCACCCGGTACCCACTCAAGGCTGGGTCGACCTGGGAGCCAAGGTCATTTTTTGAAGAAAAGTCTGGCTCCGCCAGGGAGCGAACCCACGAAAAACAGACAGTAGTGACAGTTTATTAGGATGATGATATTCTTTCACTAAAATGCATCTTTCGTTTGACAGCTGAAATAGAACTGTAAAAATAAGTGCATGGCTCTGAAATACTGGAAAGGTCTGTTTTGTCAAACGATGTTGCTTTTGAAGCGAGTTCAGTTAATTTTTGTTTTTGTTAGTGTTAAACATATTAGGAGGCATGGAGAGGGGGTGTCTCAATGATAAAATGATTAAACAGTTGCTCACACTCTAACAGTTGTGGGTTTGGTTTGAGACTGTCAATTTTTCAGACGTGCGGGTGTAGCAGATTGTTTTTGGGTGGGGGCGGGGGGATTCTTTAGTGTAGCTTTGTTAGTGGGTCGACAGATTATCCACATTGCACATCGAACCCTTCTGTTCTTAAATGCTCGGATCCTGTCCTCAGTCAATTCTGCAACATGTAGCAGCTGGCAACGCCAATTTTTTGGGGGGTTCTTTGGTGGAGCTGTGGCAATCATCCTTTTTTGTGTGTGACACTCATTCCAATGACCAGCCACTCTGCGGAAATAAATAAAAGAGCTTTGTTTTTAAAGTGTCACATAGAGAGACTTGTTGCGAGTGACTCATAATTGCAACGTTCTGCGATCGAAACCCATTGCTAGCTGTGTGGATTTTTGTCAAGATATGGCAGACCGACCCACCCTAAAATGGGTACCAGGATGTATGTCCTGGGGAAGTAAAGACAGCCAATCTAATGCTGACCACATTACTCACCTAGTGCTGATTGGCATGTAAAAATATGGGTGCTTTTCCCATATACCAGATGCGCCTAAAGGCGTGAAAAGAGATCTTTACTTACTTAGAGAGACTTAACTTACTTACTTAGAGAGACTGAACTATCTAAAATAAAACTTGGTGCAATTATACCAGTCAAATCACCTTTAAATACTTTTGTTAAATGTTCGCATGCATAATGTGTATGGTTTGTGCTGTTGTCTGCAGGTGATTGTCTCAGAACCGGTGAAAGCTTCCATGAAACTTCGAGTCTACATCTCCCAACTGTGGAACATTCTAGATACTGCTGGAATTGCTTTGTTCCTTATAGGCATGGTGCTGCGGTTCATCCCAGCCACCCTGATAGATGCACAGCTGATCTATACTATGGACATAGTCTTTTGGAACATTCGTGTCCTAGAGATCCTTTCTGTCAACAAGTACCTGGGGCCTTATGTCAAGATTATAGCCAAACTTGTGAGTATTGGGGCCTGATATCAGGCTTATAGCCAAACTAATGAGTTTCTGGGGCCTGTTGTCAAGGTTATCGCCAAACTAGTGAGTCATGATTGTAACCAGACTAGTGAGTTTTTGGGAACCTGATGTCAGTATTGTAGTCGGACTAGTGAGCTTTTGGGGGCCTGATGTCAGAGTTATAGCAAGACTAGTGGGTTTTTGTTTTCCTGTTGTCAGGTTTATAGCCAAAATAGTGAATCAAGATTGTAACCAGAATAGTGAGTTTTTTGGGACCTGATGTCAGGATGTTGCCAGGCTTTGAGTTTTTGGGTGCCTGATGTCAGGGTTATAGCCAGACTAGTGAGTTTTTGGGGTCTTGTCAAGATTGTAACCAGGCTATTGAGTTTTTGGGGACCTGATGTCAGGGTTATAGTCAGACTAGTGAGTTTTCTTGGACCTGATTCCCAAGAGTTTACCTGGCACCCATTATAGGCTGGGTGGACCTGGAAGCCAATAAGAAAAAAATCTTGAAATGGATTTAAACGCAAAACCTGCTGGCCAGCAGGTGAGCATCTAGCCACAGTGCCGCAGCGGCTGGGTAGCTCAACAGAGGGTAGGGAAACGATGCATACAAGAACAACTGAAGGTTTCTGGCCTTGTCTTTATACACGGGGGGAGGGAGGAACAACAGCTAATTAGACAAACTGACAAACAAAACAAAACAAACATAGACCCAGAAAAGCAAAATGATCCTGTTTTGTCTGTTTAAAAAAAAAACTCTGGTTGAAACATGTAGTTGTACTAGTGTATGTCTTTTACCACATGTGGGTCTAGGGCCTCATTTTAGGGTGGGAAGAAAATAGATCCACTGCCACCCCCAACCCTTTTCTTCACACACACCCCCCCCCTCTAAACCCCTCCTCTCCCCCCCCCCCCCTCCCCCCCCCCCCCAATGAGCATGTCATAGGATGGGGACTAATTGCAGGGGTGTTTCCTTCGAAGTCAAGCTGCATCTACCAGGGAGAACAAATGAACGATCGAACAAACTTTATTTTCAAAGGGTTATAAATTGGGCACGCAGGCCCGTCTGACTTTTGGCCCTTCTAAGCACTCATCTTTCAGAGTACCAATGAGAGGAACCAACAGTCTAAACACATATACGACTGATCTGTAAAATGGATGTGCCTGCAAAACTCAATTTCTGGTGGGCAGTATTTTTTTTTTTCCAATGCACTGTTTAAGATGTTAAAATATTTCTATTTTCCTACAGTTACGTGATATGGTTTACTTCCTGGCCATACTGTTTGTGGCAGTGACAAGTTTTGGCCTCATTAGGCAGACTATACACTTCCAGAAGGAAGATGTATCCTGGAATTTACGTCTCCGTAACGTCTGGTACTACCCATACTGGATGATATATGGAGAATTGTTTGCTGATGAAATTGATCGTAAGTAGATTGGTCAAAAAGGATTGCAGTTTTATAATCTTTTTTTTTTAAATAATCTTTTGTGCTGCGATAGAAGAAGGTAGACGCTCTTAAGGTGGCCAAAAAAACGCTTCAAGGACACTCTATAGGCATCACTTAAGACCTTCAATATAAACCCTGACACTTGGGAGGCTGCTGCACAAGACCAGCGATTGTCTACCCAAAGAGCCGTAGCAACTTGTAAGACATCTAGAAAAGGGGCAGCTGAGCAGCAAAGACTTCTCTAAAGACCTGTTATCTACAGATACTGTTCCCTGTCCTCATTGTCCTAGATCCTTCCAGGCCCATATTGGGCTTATAAGTCACTTCTGGACTCACAAAGATATAGTTTTTGTGACAGATAAAGGAAAGACCGGTCTTCATCGCTTATGATGGACAAATAATAAACAAACAAATTGCAGTTTAAAATTATATAGCCCCCAAAAAATAGAGAGAGAATTGTCTGCTGAAGAGATGGATCATAAGTAGATTGGTCACTGAGTTCTGGAGTTTTAAATTATGTAGTAGATTGGTCAATGGGTTAGCTGTTTTAGATTTTGTAGCCAAAAGATATATGGAGAATAGTTTGCTGATGAAATTGATCGCAAGTAGATTGGTCACTGAGTTCTGGAGTTTTAAATTAAAATAGCTTAAAGATATAAAGAGAATTGTTTGCTCAGAGATTAATCGTAGAGATGAATGCACACATGACTGGAAAACTTGCTAATGAAAGAGAGACTTCCGCACTTGCTGGGAAGAAATGGAGGTTTGGACATGCTGACTGATTCAACAACTGCTAACTTGACATTCACATTGCATACAAGAATACCTCAATTTACATAGTTTTTTTTTTTGTTTTTTTTTGTGCATCTAGGTCATTGATAGCTTTTAGGTTTTCCTGTAAACTAATAAAAAACGTGCCATCACATAATTATATATTTCATTCCTTAAATATTTTTTTACTAGTATAGATTCCACACCAACTTTTCTCCTTATCTTGGTGCAGGAATTTAAATTTTATGAGACTAATAAGGTTAGTATGTGCTAGTAAAAAGCAATGGAGAATGTTCAACAGAAATTAAAAATAGGATGGCCATAGCAATGCAAAGATTGAACAGCCTTAAAAGTCTATGATTAAGCACCAGCAAGGAGATAAAAATTAGAATTTTGAGAGCATGCATCTTCCCTGTGGCTACATACGGATGTGAGTCGTGGAGTATCTCTCAGTCCTTAAGAAAGAGAATAGGGGCTTTTGAGCTGAAATGCTATAGACAGATTCTCAGAATATTTTGGACATAGAAGAGGAGAAATATTGACATCTTAAAAGATCTGAACATCAAGGAAGATTGGCTAATAAACAGTATCCTTTCTCGGAAGCTGAAATATTTTAGTCATATCAAGCGCCACAACGGATTGGAAAAATTATAGCAGAAGGCATGGTACCAGGAAGGAGGGGCAGGGGGCCAACCGACACGAAGATGAGCACAGGATATAAGTGACTCCTTGAGTGTGAAAGTACATGAGGCGGGAGAACTGGCAAAAGAACGAGTTTCTTTCAGGCAGACTGTGGTGAGCGACAATCTGTAAAGGACCTGCTACATGATGATGATGATGTGCTAGTAGTGTGAATGCACACACACAAACTGTTTTTTTATGTTTCTCAGTAACTTTTTGCTAGAGAAATTGGCTTTTCTTTTGTTTCAGCTTGTGAAGAGGAAGAGGACTGCAGCATTTACGCAGCCTGGCTGGGTCCTCTGTGTATGTTTGTGTTTCTGCTTGTGGCCAATATCCTGATGGTGAATCTACTGATTGCAAGATTCAAGTAAGTTCTGCTAGATCCCTGGTCTCCAACCTGGAGGGGGGGGGGGGGGGGGGTGGGGGGGGGGGGGGCGAAGAAGTTTCAAGGGGGCGTCAAGCTATTTTCATATTGAATGCTTTTGTATTTGTACTAATCCATTGTATTAATTTTTTCAGTTTGATTATAAGTAGAAAATTTGTTGAAACTGTTTATAAAACAGAAGGGACGTTTTCTGTTTTTATAAGCAGTTTTTATATCATTGTCGGTGTCTGTGGCTTAGGCGTTGCAAACATGCTTCATAGTTCCGGGTTCTATCCCAGCTGTGGGCCTTGCACCTTGTGATGGTTTTGACAGTGGTATCGAGAAGCCGACCGTGCAGAAAGTAGTGGCAAACCACTTGACCTAAACTTGCCTAGAAAAACCACAACAGCCAAAAAGATGCTGCGGTTGGTTCTGCAACATCCTGAAAAGGATATACAACTAACTTTTATATATCTGCAGTTAAAAGTGTATTTAATATGAAAACATAGACATTTCATTATAAATTAACAACACATTTTACAAAAATCATATCTCCATACTTTCTGTTATGCTTGTTGTGGAATCTACTGTCCTCTTCCTTTTAATCGTATTTTGCTATTAGGGGGGGGGGGCATCATGCCATATACTCAAGGGCGGCGTGGAGGTCTTGCCATATACTCATGGGGGGGCCTTTGGGGTCTTGCCGTACACTCATGGGGGGGCTTTTGGGGTCTTGCCATATACTCATGGGAGGGCCTTTGGGTCTTGCCATATACTCATGCGGGGGCCTTTGGGGTCTTGCCATATACTCATGGGGGGCATAGGGGTCTTGCCATATACTCATTGGAAGGGGGGGGGGCAGGAAGGTCTTGACCTATACTCAAGTAGGTGTAGGAGGTCTTGCCATATACTCATGGGGGGCCTTTGGGGTCTTGCCATATACTCATGGGGGGCCTAGGGGTCTTGCCATATACTCATGGAGGCGTGGGGGTCTTGCCAAGGGGGACCTCTGTATTGCCATATACTCATGGGGGGGGCAGGGAGGTCTTGACCTATACTCAAGTAGGTGTGGGAGGTCCTGCCATATACTCATGGGGGGTGTACGGCTCTTATGAACATGTCGGAGGGCAGTGATCATATCCCAACCAACTAACTGACTTACTAACATATATTAAATATGTACATATAAACAAACATATTATCACAGACATCAGAAGGAGACAGTCATCAGTTTTTGGCCATGTTATGAGAAGAGGTAAAATAGAACATGAAGATCTGTGGAAGGAGGGATAGAGGAAGACAACAAGAGAAGGTTCTTGACAGTTTTGTTGCATGGCAAAGAGGTGTCAGCACACAAACTGATAAATGCTGCAGGAGATTGAGGATTGAGGAGAAGTATGATCGCCCACGCCAGTGGCAAGGCACCTGATGATGATGATTTAAACATTAAGTGGCTTATGTTGAGAATATTACCAGTGGTTTTTGTATGGAATATGATTCCTTTAGATGTTATGAGGAACTTTCTTGAAAGTTGAATGTGTGAACTTTTTTTAAAACCCGTTGTATGCCTGTAGCTCATCGTACATAGAGTGCTAGATATATATGCCTTCCAGTTTCTCAAACTGAGTTTTTTACATGGTCAGCATCCCTAGACCATATTCAATGACTGACATAACAAGGCACTGACTGAGTGTGTATAACATCTCTTGCTCTTCATCCAAGGCAGGCATAACCTTTAGTTCATTAAGGTCTCTCTTTGCTGTTGAGGTGACTGTATCAGTGTGGTCCCTGAAGGACAGACCTGTGTCGAATGTAACAACCAGATATTGTAGTGTGTTTTCCCATATTCTCCATTTCTTTTAGGAATATATTTATATTATCTCAGTATTGTACATATTTCCATGCATTTTATTCTTTCAAATATCTGTCTATGGATTGTTAATAAAAATCTTTTATTGATTTCCTTTTAGTGCCACCTTCGTTCGCAATAATGCCAATTCAAAGGAGATCTGGATGTTCCAAAGATATGGCCTGATTCTGCAATATGAGATGAGACCTATTCTACCTCCACCCTTCATTATCATTACACATATCTACCTAGCTCTCAAATATATCAAGCGCCGATGCAAAGGAAAAAGAAACTTCCATGACAATGGACTAAGTAAGACATGTGATAGTGTTTTAGCACTGGATATGTTTTTAAATCAGATCTTCCTGTGTGGGTTTCAGGGCTTTGTTTTGGAGAACGCAGAATAGACTCATTGCCCCCCAACAATCATGTCATAGGAGGCAAATTATTAGTGGTATTTCCTTCAAAGTCAGAGTGCCTGAGAGGCAAAGAACCAACAGTCTGTAATCAATAAATTGCATATTCATGCAAAATCAAGCTCTTGAGGAAAACAAAAGTCCAGGAGTGGACAAACAGCAGCAACAACTTTTCCCCAGAGTTTACAGGCAGTGAACGCTAAAAAGAAAACAGGTTTCACAGTAGCTCAGTGGCTAGACTTTGCCTGCTGGCCCAAAGATGTTGAGTTTGAATCCACAACAAAGAAGATTTATCCCTTCAGTACCAAACGAACCATGTGTGACTGCATTTACTCATCTGCAGCAGTCACAATATTATTATAAGGTAAAAAGTAAAGGTCCCTTTTCCACACCTTCTAGGCGTATAGGGCTAGACCTGTATTTTTATAGACCAATCGGCACTAGATGGGTGATGTGGTCAGCATCACGCCAGCCATCTTTACCTCCCGGGACTGCACCTGGTACACTCAAGGCTGAGTCGACCTGGGAGTCAAGGTAATTTTTTTTTTTTTAAATTCTGGCTCCGCCAGAAAGCGAACCCAAGACCTTCTGATCCGCACACGAACTTTTATGCTTAGACAGGACATGGTAAAACACACAAGAACACACAAGACTCCTACAAGGGTTGTGTATTTATCTCCAGGGGATGAAGTATACCCATGATTTTGTTGCTGTCATTATTGCCTCATTTGGGCATCAGAGACTATCCTAATTTCCCAAGTCTAAAAGGTAAAGGTCAAGTCGGGAGATGTGAACCAGCGTCATTGCACACAGTTATAAACCATAAGTGCTCTGCCACCAGTGCGGACAGCTGATAAGAATTGTCCGCCGGTGTCGCCGTTCGTACGTAACTCTGTAGCTACAGCGACGTTCCTCCATTTACCCAAGTGTGTCAACTCTGGTACCCATTTCCTAGAGGCTGGGTGAACCCCGGGAGCTGCCCGGTTTAGAACACCGACTGTGGCTGCAGCGAGTCACAGCTGCCAAGTCTACCTAGCCTAAGCAAACTACTAATTTGCCTAGAAAAACTACAGAAGCCAAAAAAATGCTGGGGTTGGTTCTGCAACGTCCTGTAAAGGATACGCAACCAACTTTAACCTAGCCTAAAAAAGGGTAACAGAAAATGTCACGGGAAAAAAATGTTTCAAATGTGATGTTGACCATATCACCTGTCAAGTGCCGATTAGTCTGTATTATATATCTACCACCGTATACCTATAGCATCAGTGATGGGAAACTCCTTTACTTTACACACACAGAATCTCAGGTTGCGGAATGGAAAAAAATAATTGCTGAAGGCATGGTACCAGAAAATAGGGGCAGGACAGGGCCGACCTGCAGGAAGATGGGCACAGGATATAAGTGACTCTTTAGGTAGAAAAATTCACGAGGCGAAAGAGCTGACAAGAAACCAAGCTTATTTAAGGCAGACTGGGATGAGTGTGATGTTCTGCAAAGGACCTATTACATAATAATGAATCCCAGGTTTGTCTGGCGATCATATCTTTTGCAGTGTGGCAAAATCACTTATGTGTAGTGTTGCTGATTGTCACCTAGCTGTATTTTTTTGTCAGGGCTGTCATTTGTCACAACATCCCAAAGGCACACATGTAAATTCCTACTCCAAATAGGTAAAAACAAAGTATTACTCATCAGGAAACTACACAATTTTCAGGCAGCCGCCTGATGTAGCGGCTAGATGCTTGCATAAGGATCCAAAGGTCATTGGTTTAGTTCCACATCCAGCCAAATTTTTGTTTTTTGTTTTTAATGACCCTGGCTGAAAGGTTGACCCAGCCTTGCAATAGAGACCAGGTAAAATCCTGGGAAGAAAAGATGGCAGACGTGATGCTGGCCATGTCACCTGCCAAGTGCAGATTCGTCTACAAAAATTTAGCTCTAGCAATATATCCTCCACATGCCAAAAGGTATCTTCTTCTTTCTTCTTTGCGTTCACCAGCTGTAAACTCTGGCGGAAAGTTCTGGCTGTTCGTCCACTTCTGAACTGCAGTCCTACTCCAGAACTTGAGTGTTGCGTGTGCATCAGTTTTACAGATCTGATTCACTTGAATACAGACTGTTGGTTCCTTGCCCCTCAGGCAGATGTACTCCGACTTCAAAGGAAGCTCCCCAATTAGTCGACTCTTACGACATGCTTTTGGGTAGGCAGTGGGTCTATTCTTGTTTTTCCCACAATGGGGCCCCGGAATCCACACGGGGAGCCAAAAGGTATGAAAAGAATTCTTTTCACAATTTTCATTTGCCACATTGGGATTTTGTCAGAGCTTTCAGTGTTCACAGCACACAGATTTAGCACTTGGGCAATTTCAGCAGGGTGTCAGCTATATAAGATAGTAAACCATGACTACAGTTATTGTCATAGTATATGGTGATGATGAGAATTGCATGTTCAACTTTTTGTTTATTATACCTCAACCCCCCCCCCCCCCCCCCCCCCACCCCCCAACTTTATAGAACCTTTCTTGTCCCATGTGCAGAATGCTTCTTTGCTCAGCTCTTCACATAATATTTTTGTAATCCATATTGTAGAACTGTTCTTGTCACATGAGGATACAGAAAAGCTGCATGATTTTGAGGAAGAATGCATGGAAGATCTCTACAGGGAGAAGGATATAAAACATCACAGTTCCACAGAGGAACGAATCAAAGTCATCAGTGAAAGGTAACAGATTGTGACATGTCTTTCAAGTAACCCCTGTCCTACTTGTTACATCTTCCAGACTCAAGCAGTTACTTTAACTCCTTCTTTTGTGATAAGTTCAGCATGCAAGCAGTAAATATTTAAGTCTAAATGATATTGTCATAGGCATTTATGGGTCAGAAATCAACATTGTGGCAACTTGTACAAGTTGTTTGCCTCAGTCTATGATGGTCTTAGGTTCATATCACAGTTACCTCATTCAGTTCACATGAGCAATTTTTACTGAGATCTCTGGAGATCAACGCTGGAGCTGTGAATTACCTGCTTAGTGTGACACTCTCAGCAGGCAGCTAGCTGCTCTGCAGAGAGATAGGATCAAACTTGGTGCAGTGAATTTTATCCTCCCAACTTTACCTTTAACTTTAGTCATGTCGATCAGCAACCTTCTGTCACATGTACTTTCAGTCAGTTCTGACACAGATGAACTTCCATGCCATGATGTCAGACTGCCTAGCTTCTTCTCTCTCAGTCTCCTTCTGCCTCCTTTCTCTTCCAGGTTTGCCACCGTCACGATATACTCCAGTTTTCTCCTTCTCATGACATGACTAAAGAATGTAGACTGTCTCCTTCTGATGTGGGCAATCAGTTCTCGTCGTGAGTCAGTTTCTTTCAAGACATTTTCATTACTTTTTTTATCTGTCCAGGGTGTTCTCCTCATTTGTCTGTAAAACCACATCTACTATATTTCTACATAATGTTTTACTAATTAACCAACTGTCCATGATTCACTTCCCCAAACCAGGTTAGGATTTATATAGCTCTTGAGAATTCTCTTTTTTTTTTTTTTTTTTTTTTTTTTTCTAGTATAAGTTAGTTGGTCTTTTCTCTTGAACCTAGGGTGGTGCATACGGCAGAGGTCATAGCTCTGCAAGTCTGGCGATTCATTGCCACCTCTTTTAAGTCTTGAATGTTCATTAGACCCATGGTTGATACTTCCCTGATGATGATTCTACGCAGGGTCTCTCTTGGTCGTCCCTGTTTTCTTTTTCTTTTCCCTTCCATTGTCTATCTGAGGGCTTGATGGGAGAGTCTGGTCTTATCCAATCCATTCTGAATTTACAAATAATTCAGATACTGAGGCTGATTTGACAACTGTCTATGACAGAACGCGGCCAGGACACCATATCTTTAAAGTGACCTAGAAATGTATTGTGTGTTGTTTGGTACTGAAATAGTTAGCATTATCAATCCTTTGACATCCTTTTGTCAGTTTTGTTGTTGCTTCTCACGCTCTATTCCTCGCTATTTGCTTCTTTGACGGGTTGTCCATTTAAATCCATCTGAAATCAAGGCCTAAATATCTGTTTCATGATGCAATGAAGTCATAGGTAATTATTAATTTTTCATAGTAAGAGAAATGAAGTGCCAGTTTATACAGCAAAGGCGTTTTGAATGTGGATATCTTTTTTTTTTTTTTACACACTACCAGAACCTTCACCAGAGTTTACAGCTGATGAGTGAGAAGAAGAAGAAGACAGCTTAGCTGTAATGTACAACGCAACATGCCAGTCACTCCTTTAAGAGCCAGCACAGAAAAATAAATTACTGGTACCGTAGAAATAATAAATAAGGCTGGATCGACTTGAGAGCCTATGACATATTTTATTTCATAAATCCCAATCACAATGAGGGTTTTAACACTTGGCCAGCAGGAAAATGTATTAGGTATTATGCTTACATGGCTGCACTTAGTTATACAGTTTTAGCATAAAACATCTATTCTCCCACCCCACCCCCACCTTCCCCACCCCATCCCCACCTTCCCCACCCCATCCCCAACCTTCCCCACCCCCACCCCCTCCCCCTTTTTTTCAGTTCTCAAAATATTTTCTTTTCTTTTAACCATGGGGAAGCAACCTTATAATAAAAATTTGGATTTCGTGCTCCATACATGAACTATTTGTTGTGTTGATTTGTGTAAAGAAACCTGTTCTCTAAAACCACAGAGTGGAGAACATGTCCATGAGACTAGATGATATGAACATGAAGGAGAACCACCTGCGGCTGTCTCTGGGTGCACTTGATCATCGAATCAGTCGTATTGACAGCCTAGAGGACAGTCTGTACGAAGCCATCAAGGTCATTAAGCTTCTGACTAACAAGGATGATGAAGACAGCGATGGCTCGCAAGATGT